AAAAATTATGTATCCAAAAAAAGATCACTGAAAATTTTTAATTAATCTTTTTAATACTTTCAAAAATAATTACCCATATTGTTTATTCTATGACTACTTATGTTGATCAAATTAGTTTAATAGAGAAACTCACCTTATGATCTATTGCCACCTTAGTGGGAGCTAACCAGTCAAGGTTGGGCTAGTACTGTATAAAATAGTAAATATGTGAAAGGAGTGTGTAATGTTTTTATGTATTTTCCTATATAATTATTTATCAGGTCAATATATTGACCTTTTATGGGTTTTTCAAATATATTGAGTTATATGTTTTTCTGTAGAGTGCTGTATTTGACTATTCTTTCAATTTTTCATATAATACCTCATAGTTTTTTTCATTTTTGAAATTCTTTACATCTTTGGATCCAGATGTTGTAGAGATATTCACTAGTTTCTTGTCTAATTTCTTTTATGAATTTATGTTTTTGTTATTTGTTTGGTACACATTTGGCTATTAGATTGTATGTTTCTTTGAATATGACTTCTTTGATGATGCATTTAAGGTATTCAGTGTATTTCAAGAAGTTGTTTCTTAAGTAGTTATTGATTTGTACTTCTGTGTTTTTTATCTTCTATATTGTCTGACTTTGTTGATAACTGTATTTCTTATGTGTTCTTCTATTCTCTATCATTGATATTGACATATGAAGGGATATGTGTTTGTCTCTTTGGATTTGCAAAATATACATCTGTCATCTTTGTACAGGTTTGATAGTCTTTGATAGAGTTTTGCTTTTGTTGTGAGTTCTTCATTCCATAGGCATAAATTGAATCTCCTTTGTTATTAATCTATTCCGTTAATATGTTGTTCACTTATTCTAGTTGGTTGTAGATTTGTCAATATTATATCCCAATATATATGTTTGATAATCCGGTCACTGAATTCGATTTTTGTTCTATTTAATAGTCTCTATATGGCTAGGTGTATTGCTTTGATTATTTCTTTGGCCATAGTTTTGATGGAAACTTCGAGTGTGTTGTTGTCCCATTGAGGTAGTAGCATGAATTATGGGTTTTTTGTAGGGTGAGTACTGATTGTTTTGTATCATGATGTCATATCTTGATATATATCTATTTTGACTAGTTTGTCTACTTGTTCATTGTATTTGTTATCTGTGTGGGCCTTGACTTTAATGAGGTCAATCTTCAAATGGTTGCCAGGGACTATAACTTTGAACAGTTGAAGAATCTCCAGGTTTTTCTGTTTTTACAGATTGTGTATGTAGTTTTTTTTCATTACTTTTTAAATACTATTGATTGCTGCTTGGCTGTTCGTGTGTATGTTGACTCTGCTATATGATGAAAGTGTGCTGATTGCTATAAATATAGCCATTAATTCTGCTCTAGTCAATGAGGGAAAGTTTTTAATCTATCCTTGAAATTAAAATTCTTGATTGTTTTTGGTTATTAGTATAACTTCAAATTGTAATATAATATAATAAATAATAGTATAATATTGTATATAATTCCAAATTATATTAAAACAATATGAAAAAAAATTTTTTTTTTAATCCACAATCATATTGCAATGGCATGTCTTTATTGAGATATTGAAAAATATCTAAATATTTTATAGACTTTCACAAAGCAACTAATTTATCATTATATATTATTAATTAAAGGACTATACTACTTAAAAAATATAAGAAGTTCACTAAGCTAGTTCAGACTAAACAAAACTAAGTCTAAACTAGGTATTCTAAGTCAAATTTAGGGAACAATATTTTACTCTTCTAGTAACTTGACAATAGTGCCTTTAAATTAATCAAGGTTATTGCCAATAGTTTGTCACTATTGATTATCCTGAAAAACAATAAATTGTTAAAGTTGGTACTGGAAAAAAGGGAAGAAAGAATGCAAATCAAATATTTCCAAAAGGTTCTTGCTCCATTTCATAGTTTCCTCTCGAAAGGGGTTTGCCTAATTGAAATATTCTCTAAGCTTCATGATATTTGAGGAACTTTGCTATTCCTGAAAGTGACTTCAAGAAAACATTTGAAGAACTTAACTTATTCTTCTGCCAATATATGGATTCGCTTATTACTAGTGAAGCCAGCACCATATTATAGAAGAGTTTGCCTAATTGAAATAAAGAAATCTTTTCAAGAACTTTGCCTGACTGGAATAGAAGCTTGAAAATCTCAACTTTTGTCCAAAAAAACCTTTTCACTATATAAAGAACTTAATGAGAAATGAGAGTTAAATCTTCTTTTTGTACAGTCAGCACTTCCTAAATGCACACCTCGGAACTGAGAGTATGATGCTATGCATTTAGAGAACAATATACTTACGAAGTGGTAATACATTTATGTAATAGAATTTTCAGCATATTGTTGGCAGTCGAAATAGCTAAACTAAAAATAAGCTATCCTAATGTCTTAACCCATCATAACTATTACAAAGTCAAGTGACATTACTTTAAAATTACATAATGTGCAGCCAATTTTACCATTACATTTCCCCATACCTTATTTTTAACATCTGTAACAAAGGTTTTATTATGACCTCCTAATGTTAGATATTATGAATTTTTCGGGCACAGTTCATAACCGATCCTCTGGGATCAAATAAAATATACTCATTTAATTTTAATTCCTGTTTTATCCCCTTGGTTGGCCTTCAGATATTTTTTCAGTTCATCTGTTCCACTGCTTTCGACAAATATAAGATTGTGCTATGAGGAATCACATTTCACAGTTATTTTTGATTATTTGTGATTCTTCTATCCTTGTTTTGTGATCATTTTCAATTGCTTGTCTCCTTTGTTTAGTGTATCATCCTTTATGACAAATTTTCAGCACCAATAATATACTGTACATGTCACTAAATTGATTCATTCTATGACGTGCTTATGTACTTATCAATTTCCACTTTGTTAAATATTATTCTTTGATTCCCATGAGTATAACTACAAAAAAGTCCACTGGGATTATAGGAAGCGTATTTCATCCAATCCATTTGCCATGCTACTTTCTTGTCTTCATGATAGTTGTGTATCATCACTAATCTTTTTTCTTTTATCCCATCCTGGACACATACGACTCCCCATTTTGCATCACGGACATAGGCATACTACCGTTATCTTTGGTACCATCATTATTGGATAAGTTCTCAGTTTGTGCCATAGACTTAGGCTTGTCTTGCCTTCATGGCTATTACACTATATTGTAAGATTACTAATCTTTTTCTCATTTGTCCCATCCTAGGCATATACAACTTTCTATCTTGTATCATGAACATAGGCAGACTACTATTGTCTTTGATGCCATTATCATTGGACGAGTCCTCAGTTTGTACCATAGACTTAGGCTTGTCTTGCCACTTATTACCCTTCCTAGCTATTATATTATATTGTAAGATTACTAATATTTTTCTCTTTCACCTTATCCTAGGTATATATGACTCCCTATTTTGTATCACGGACATAGGTGGACTACTATCATTTTTGATGCCATCATCATTGAACGAGTCCTCAATTTGCACCATAGACTTAGGCTTGTCTTGCCACTTGTTACTCTTCATGGCTATTATACTATATTGTAAGATCACTAATCTTTTACTCTTTCGCCCCATTCTAGGCACATATGACTCCCTATCTTGCATCACAGACATAGGTAGACTACTATCATTTTTGATGCCATTATTATTGAATAAGTTCTCTGTTTGTACCATAGACTTAGGCTTATCTTGTTATCCTTCATGATTATTATACTATATTGTAAGATTACACCAGAAGCATATTACTCTCCCTGCCTTGACATTCGTAATATGTGCCATGTGCCTGGAGTACTATTACTCATATCATTATAATAAATCTCTTTTTTCTTTGCATAATCCGAGTAGTAAAGAATGTGCTCATATCAGGTGGAGGGCTCTTCTTGGAAATAACTTTGCCTAATGGTTGGCTTCTCTCAGCCATACTTATATTGGGCAGAGAGCTCTTCTCCATAATACAGTTGCCTTGAGGCAAGCTTCTCTTGGCCATATTCTTATCTGGTAGAAGGCTCTTCTCTCTTTTTACCACGTAACTTCTTTGGATTAGCTTTACTCGTTCCTGTCTACTTCTTTGTTTTATTTATTTCCTTCTATATTAAGGTGATCTCCTGGAGTTCGCCACTTGAAAATACTTTCCGTGTTATTTATTATCACTTTCTTCTTTTTTTTTCTATAGATGTAAAAGTAAATAAAAATAAAAGGGCACTACAATAAATTATTTATTGAAATAAACACAATTTTGAATATGATTTTTTTTTTTTGATATATATTTCTTTGCTATGTTGATACTTTGGGGGGTAATTAAGTGTTTCGCTTAGAGTCCACAGTTTCCATATCTCTCTTAGTTCTATCTCACAATCAGTTATCAAGTTGTTGGCGGTTGAAACAGCAAGTCCGTCGCTAAACTTTTATTGCGATTCACCGGTCAGTTAACTTTCATTCCCAAAAAAGACTTAAAGATTAGGCCAAAGCTTCTTTGTTTTTCTTCTTCCTGTATTTCACGTATCCCAGTCGACCCTTGTACCTTTCTCACCTTCTTTGTAGGATTTCTGTATGCTTCGTCACCCTAGAATAGTAGAACCATTGTATAAGGCAAAACAAAGACTTGACTTCCTCCTTTTTTCAATTCCAGGTTCAACGGGTTAAATGTCTCTTTATTGTCTGTGATGCTTGTCTATTTATACAAATAATAATGTCACAAATAGACTATAGCTAAAATGATAAGAAACTATCTAAAACTATCTCGCTACTAAAAATAAGCTTTATTTGAAATATTGGTTTAAGTTCGACTGTTGCATTGAACTAATCTTTTTTTCTCTAATATATCTTTCTAAAATATTTGCATACTTCAATTGATCTTTCATATTTTCTTATTGCAATAAGAATGCATGTACAGTTTCCAGACTTTTTAATGCAGTACTTGCGCTAATAACCGTTGTTTCAGTACTGTCATCTGTGTTCTCTAAATCATTACTATTTTCGTCTTTAAAAATCTTAGAAAGCTCTGTAACTATTTGTTCACTATCTAGAATCTCGTAAACAATGTTTTCTTCAGGAACCATGAGAAATTCTTCAATTTCCATTGACTCTAAAAGATTAAGACTTCTGAGCATTCTGCTAATTTCATCAAGAATCAAATTATTAATCACATGAATGCTATCGGAAATGGTTTGTAAGTTGACATTATCAGTTTTAGAAATAATGCCAGTATGTTGCCAGTATTGATAAATTGTTTTAGGTGTAATCTCTTCCCACACTTTACTAATATATTGGATAGCTTGAAGAACATCCATTTTCTGTTGTTTTATTTCTTGTCCAGCTTCGACTTGCTCTAACATCTAGCTATAAATAAAATATAATATTAATGTTAAATTCTTTTTTAACTTTTAACAAGAATACATTATACAATACCAAATTTGATAATGACGATAATGTTTTTTAAAAGCCATTATAATTTCACCATCCATAAATTGAATCTTAGCAGTTATATTAGGTGGAAAAAAATGTATATCGACATGTTGAAGATTCAAACCTTCCAGTTTATGGCTTGGACAATTATCTAAAAAAAGCAAAACATGATTATCTCCATACTTATCAGCCATTTGTTTATCAAAATTTTGGATCCACTCTTAAAACAAAGATATAAGCATCCAAGCCTTATTATTATTTCGATATGTTACTGGTAGATTATGAAGACTGATGTTTTTAAAACAATGTGATCTTGCATATTTACCAATAATTAGTGGATCTAATTTATGTGACCCATTAGAGTTTGCACAAAGTGCAATAGAAAGATGTTCCTTATCTTTTTTGCTACCGGCAAGACGTTGAGTAGCTAGTGTTCTATCTGATTCTAGTCTATAAAAATTAATATAATATTTATTATATTTTTGCATTAAACTATTTATAAAGATATATTTATTTACCGATAAAAAAGTCCTGTCTCATCCATGTTATAAATTCGTTTAGGTGGGTAGTTATTGCATATATTATGCAATTGTGATAAAATCTCAGAAACTGCTATCAAATCAATAGATGCTTCTTCTCTATGTAGTTTAACTTGATGAATAGAATGATGCTTTTTGAATTTCTGAAGCCAACCAACAGAGAAATTCAATGCACCTTCAGGAATCTCTAATTTACTTGCTAATGATTTGGCACGTTCAATTAACACAGTATCACTTAATACTACTTGATGCTGATATATCAATACAAACTCTTTAAGAGCTTGTTCAAGTTGTGGAAACATGACTGATCTATGTCTCTTTGCTTTTG